TGACTACAGGTTTAGGAAACACGGCACCTAAACTACTGTATGGTAAACAGAGCACGTTGACTTCTGGTTTAAGAAAGACAACACGTTGACTACTGGTTTAGTAAACACAACACGTTGCCTACTGGTATAGGAAACACAACACGTTGACTACTGGTATAGGAAACACAACGCGTTGCCTACTGGTATAGGAAACACAACACGTTGACTACAGGTATAGGAAACACTACACGTTGCCTACTGGTATAGGAAACACAACACGTTGACTACTGGTATAGGAAACACAACGCGTTGACCACTGGTATAGGAAACACAACTAGAAAAGAAACTAGGCTAGATGAACTAGAAAAGAAACTAGGCTAGATGAACTAGAATAGAAACTAAGCTAGATGAACTAGAAAAGAAACAAGGCTAGATGAACTAGAAAAGAAACTAGGCTAGATGAACTAGAAAAGAAACTAGGCTAGATGAACTAGAAAAGAAACTAGGCTAGATGAACTAGAAAAGAAACTAGGCTAGATGAACTAGAAAAGAAACTAGGCTAGATGAACTAGAAAAGAAACTAGACCTAAATGAGGCTGGTAACACTAAGCAAACTCTACTAAATGAAATAAATGTTGTAAAACATGAGCTAGATGAAATTGACAACCATAAAATAAACGGAATGCTTATAAGATCTAAAGCAAAAACCCAGAAATTATTGAAAAATTGGGTCGAAAAAAGGGGAAAAAACTAAATACTTTTTAATGTTAGAAAGAAGAAACTTCCTAACTAAGTCCATAACTGTTTTGGAAAGGAATGATGGAACAACTATAACAGAAAGTAAACAATTACTTCAAGAAACAAAACTCTTTTATGAAAAATTATACACTGCACAGGGCAGTTTAAAGATTGTAATTTTTTATATTTTTTTCACCCATTACTCACTTATTAAATGTGAATATAAGCAGAACATAACTCCAGATTCAAAGACAGGTGAACAGTTAGTAGTTTGTCAAGTCACCATAGGCAGCAATGCAGGCTTCAATGCGGCGGGGCATACTACTGATCAAAGAAGTTAGAAAGTCGTGGTCCATGCTGTCCCAATATCGGACCACCTCTTCTTTCATTTCAGCAATATTTGTCAGATTTTTCTTATTGACACTTTCTTTCATAAGTCCCCAAACATTTTCTATTGGATTTAGGTCAGGGCTATAGCTTGGCCAATCTAATAATGTCATATTTTGGGTCCGAAACCAGGCCTGTGAATGCTTTGAACGATGTTTTGGGTCGTTGTCCTGCTGGAAAATCCAAAAGTTTCCCTAGAACACGTCAGCAGATGGAAGTAAATGTCCCTCGAGAATATCTTTGTACCGCTCACTGTTCATATTCCCTTCAAATACACAGAGGGGCGTTGCCCCTAACACAGATATGCCATCCCACACGTTAAATTTCGGACTGTACTTTGGGCGCTGATACAAAGGTTTTTCAGTTTGTTTGGTCCAGAATTTCAGTGTATTAGAAAACAGCCACACAGAACTTTCATCTGAGAAAATCACATTCTCCCAGTTAAAATTTCTATGCTGTAAGAACCAGTTCAACCTTCGCTCCTTTTGTTCAGCTTTCATAATCGGTGATGGAATTCCTCGACTTTTCTGCCAACCCATTGCATGCAGCTCAGTTCTAATTGCCTCCTTACAGACAGCCACAGTTCCTCTATCAATCATATCCAGCCTTAAGTTTTCTAAACTCCTTCGTTTGTTTTTAGAAACAAGAATACCAAGCCGCCTCCTGTCACCGACAGTCTATTTTCTGGGCCTACCTGCGTCTCCCTGGTGCTCAATGCCATATCCATTTGCAATATTTTTCAAATCACGATGAACAGTGGGCAAAGGGATGCCTGTTCTACTTGAAATCACTTTAGCTGATCTGATGTCCTTGTTATAATACTCTAAAATCAACTTCCTCTTCTCTAAATCATCCATACTGAGGATCACTGAAAATGTCGTCTGCTAGCAAGTAAACATAGGGAGATACCTCTTCACAAACTAATGAAAAAGGATTAACGGAGTTGTCTCTCTTGAATGAAACCAAGCACTTGATAGCTGGTCAAGGTTGTTTATACTAGAAATCCAATTAAACATATTCCTAAAATTCTCAATAATTTCTGGTCATACTATAAATACCTCATACAAAGCTGGAGCTGCAGCAATTGCAAACAGAATTAAAAAGGTACTACCTAGTATTATTAATGAAGACCAAAAGGGTTTTGTCACGGGAAGATATATTGGCGAGGTAACCAGATTTATATATGACCTAATGGAATACACCGAAACCTGCCAGATACCTGGCCTACTTCTTCTCATTGAAGTAGAAATTGCCTTCGATTCAGTAGATAGACATTATCTCAGTAATGTATTAAAGTTTTTTTAATGTTGGACCCAGTATCTTACATTGGATAGAAACATTCTATTAATGATATTGAATCGAGAGTCTTGGTAAATGGATTTGCGTCAACTCCTTTTAAAATAGGTCGGGAAATCCTGGGTATCATGATACGAAACAACAAAAATATAAACGGGATTAAACTTGGAAGTATAGCATATCTTCTATCACAGTTCGCAGATGATACAGCACTTACATTAGACGGATCAGAGAAATGCCTCTATGCGCAGTTTTGAGTACATTAGAACTATTGGCCCGTTTTTCAGGTTTGAAAGTCAGCGTAGATAAAACTAAACTAATATGGATAGGCTCCAAAAAGAGCTCCCGATATAAGATGTGTAAAGAATAGAATTTTGACTGGACACAATCAGACTTCACGCTCCTGGGAATACATTTCGATATTGATCTAGATAATATGGTTGAAATAAACTACAACGAAAATCTAGCTCAGATTGAAAGGCAAATGGACATTTGGCCAGCTCGTACCTTAACCCCGTACGGAAGAAATACTGTTCTTAAATCACTTCTACTACCTAAGCTTAACCACCTATTCTCAGCTCTACCAAATCCAAACAAAATGTGTCATTGGAAGACTTCAAAAATAGTGTTTTAATTTCATGTGGAAAAACAAACCTCATAAGATTAAAAGAGATGTAATGATGTTAAACCCAGAGCATTGAAACACGACACGTTGACTACTGGTATAGGAAACACAGCACGTTGGTTATTGTTGTAGAGTGAGTGAGTGGGTTTACTTTTACTCCGCTTTTAGCAATATTCCAGTAATGTCTCCGCGGGGGACACCAGAAATGAGCTTCATACATTGTACTCATGTGGGGAATCGAACCTGGGTCTTCGGCATGGCGAGCTAACGCTTTAACCACTAAGCTACCCCACCGCCCCCAGAATATAGAGGAAAGGCCCATATGTTTCTGTAGTACCTTCCAGAACACCAGCTAAATATAGTACAAGTCTAAATATAGCATACCATTGGCCATCACTTACTACCCACATATACAATGTATAGCACTTGGGGCAGTTTTACACAATGTATATCAATGCCTCGACTTTCCAAGAAGATGGATCATGGCACACTCACAAAGATTCGACAACAAATATGCCTGGTGAAATGGCCAACTGACTTCCTTGTTTCACATATTGTGTATCTAGGACAACGCTCGAATCAATTTACAAATCACCCAATCTCCCAAACTTTGAATACGTTGTTCGTATTTGGGATAACTTGAGCAAAGTAATTTGCTTGAGAAATTGCACTTGGGGACGATATTAAAACACTATGCACAACTAGACACCGAAGTGCTTAAGAGAACTTATTGCTAGAATCATGTTCCATTGTATTATCTAAGAATCGAGCTAACTTCCAACTGATCAACTGCATGACAACATTAATAATAATACCTTTGGATATATATCAGATGAAACTAGAAATTGGTCAACGCTATCTGGCTATAGCTACTGACTCAAAAGTCTGAACAAAGTTTCTCTTTTGATGTTGATTATTTGAACAAGGTTCTGTCTGGCCGTACACGCTCGCCTCAGCCTCGGGGCTGGACATTTAACTTAGAAGTTATCTTGATGCTCGACCGAACACGTATTATTATCTCGATGGCTGTGATCGTAACTCGGCTTTGTAACACAAACATTCTTCAATATGTGCATGTTTTTTTCTTCTAATATTTAGACAGATTGAAACTTCCATATATATGACATGTTACTGTTTCAGACAGACTGACTGTATCATTGCATTCCCGTCATGACATGTAGCAAATTAACCATGATATTCAAATATGCCATGAAATTGTTTGCGGATCTGGCCATGTATATTTCATTTCATGGAATAAATGCGCTTTAAACCATCTGTGATATGGAAATCATCTTCTCTATTTTGTGTCACAAGTAATAAAGATGTATCTATCGATGAAACGTCCCCCGTCTTCATATATTGCGTCTGAAAGTTGACCTTGTGTAGATTTGTCCGAGTATGGTAGCGCCTAGACGACTGTATACTGTGGTCACTCCGGTTGTCTTTAACCTGTAACAGTGAACAAGCAGAGAAGTATAACAGTATCTTGCCAGTATTGTTGTGATCTCTGACAGGATAATATGCTCCTCTGTCTTTATTCTGACACCGAAATCAAGTCAGTGGCTCTACTTGGTGGTGACGTCACGGGTATTTTACGAGCGCTTCATTATGCACCACCCACCGGTTGCCCTGCACAGCATCTTCCAACATATTTGAGATATCGAGACTACGTTCAAAAGTCTGACCGCTTAAATATTTTTCGAATCTGAGTTTTATTTATTTAATATATATCCAATTTTGGATACACCTGATTTTTTTTTGTTTCTTAAACAAGCATGTATGCATTATCTACATACGCCCGCTTGTGTTAGTCATTCTAGTTGACAAAAAAAGGAAAATCTTTTTCATAAAGAAACACCAAGCTAGATGCACTAGTAAGCATCGCATGAGGTGATTAAAGAAACATTTTATTTTCCACCCATAAAATATATTATTCCAGGGACTGTTTCTAGTTTTCTGAATAACCGCATACCGGAAGTATTATGGCGGACATGTTTTTGTGTTTGTAAATAGAATACAAACATTGTCACAAGATTGTGTGTAATCGAAGCCTTAATACGGTCTGTCTGCAGAATCATTACGATTACAATTATCGAGATCTTCTAAAACACAGAGAGACTAATCGAGAAGTTAAGCCCGGTGACTTCCTCAAAGTTTCGTCTGAGTTTTACTCGCACCTCAGCTACCCAATATGTCTGGATTTTTAGATAACTGTCAATTACCACGATGCGATTGCATAGAACTCGGCGAAAGGCGGAATATGGTTGCTTCCATCATATCCGGTATAATGGTAAGGTTGTGTCTTCGTATAACAAAAACACAATGACTCGCGTGAATTCTAAGGGGTGAAGTAGAACTGTAGAATGGTGCTACATTCTACTTGGCTATAGACATGATAGAGATACAGGGATATTGTGACTCCAGGTAAACTATCGGACTATGCTTTTGCTCTGCTTACACATAGTAGAGTCAGAGAGCTTGTAAACATTTCAGTAATGAAGCCTGAAGGAGTGGTAGTGTTACTGGCATTAAAAAATGTGTCCTTTGATTAGCCACTGTTCCAGGTACTCCTGGGGCTGCCCTTCCCCCATCCCTAGCTTACTAATCTATACGTGCCATGTTTATACTTCTACTGCAACATTACTACCTTAATCTAGCATAAACATGATAAATGAGCATACAAGTACTGTACATTATGTAAGAATGCTACCTCTGTTTGTCGTGTTCTTAGCCCCTGATGATGCATGATTTGCACTTACACTCCGGAGAATCGAAAATCATTATCCAACCTACTTGAAAAGAAAATGTTATCTTCAGTTGTCCATATGCAAGCTCATATTTTGTTAATTTAAATTTTGTTGTTGTTAAATATTGCTTTAAAAGAGTGTAAAGTACGATCAATTTTTCCGAATGGCTGTATGGTACTTTATTGATCAGAGATTGAGACCATTTGTTTTGAAGATTGCATTTCAGTGACCAAGTTGTGTAGGAAAATCTGAGGTAATGCTCTTAAAGTGTTCATTAGTCATCTGCCATTCAACTATATCATGATAACTCTTTACTCCCCTGTGGTCTGATTTGATTGGTCTGTCGCTGTTATTAGTTAGCTGAAGAAGAGATCAACCATACAATATTTCTTGAACAAATCCACAATTTGCAAAATATTTCCTTATCCTTCTTGTCAGTGAAGTTTGTTCATGAGGCTTTTTGATTTTTTTGATTTTCAATGGACTTGACAGGTAAAATGAATGAACCGTAATAAGTCTTGACATGTTGAGTCTGTTATCAGAACATCTGTAATACACAGTTCAATATTCATTCACAATGGTTCATGGTTGTTTTCCATCTTGTCAGTTTTTCAGTGGTTGGTGGATTGTGATCGATGCGGCTGCCGTTTATCCTGACATGAAAGATTTCAACCATGCATACCACACACCTGGGGTCATCGGCACTGTGGCCTTCTTCCTGTAAGTATGAATGGGTACCTCGTAAGGATGAGAAATAACTCGGTGCGCCTCGTGGCTGCAAGAGTTGTATGGTCCCCAGGGAGTTGAGATTGATAATACGATGTGCCTTTGAGATTGACATCCAATGATCGAGGGCAAAAATACCAGCTCCTAGAGCATGTACTAGTTTCGTGGATATGTGCGATATATAAATATATTATAATACATCTGTTAGGATCTCCAAGAACCAGGAACCATTGTCGTTGTTATTTATTCTTAAATCAAAGACTGAAATACAATTCAAGGGTCTTTTAAACAACATCTCTTGATTCTCACCTCGGTCTCATGATTACTTTCAGGATAAACTCGGTGTCAAATGGTCAGATTCGCGGGGAGAGCTACACTAACGGATGTATGGGACAAACAGGTAGGACATCAATGTATTGATAGAATGTGTGTATTCACGTGTTACTGACAGATGGGATATCAATGTGTGTTTGGATTGGCTGGTTTCTGACAGATGAAATGTCAATGTGTGGGGATTGGCTGGTTTCTGACAGCTGGGATGTCAATGTGTGTGTGTGGATTGGCTGGATTATGACAGGTGAGATGTCAATGTGTGTGTGGATTGGCTGGTTTATGACAGGTGAGATGTCAATGTGTGTGTGGATTGGCTGGTTTCTGACAGCTGGGATGTCAATGTGTGTGTGTGGATTGGCTGGATTATGACAGGTGAGATGTCAATGTGTGTGTGGATTGGCTGGATTATGACAGGTGAGATGTCAATGTGTGTGGATTGGCTGGTTTCTGACAGCTGGGATGTCAATGTGTGTGTGTGAATTGGCTGGTTTATGACAGGTGAGATGTCAATGTGTGTGTAGATTGGCACACTCATTCATTAATTTCCAAGACAATCTGTCACTCATTTGCAATACGTCATCCCTATACTCACTCCCCTCTTGTTCTCTCCCTCATTCCATCATTCCATCACTCTGAGCAACCCACTCATCCAACGCCCCCTAACTAACTCAAGGTGTATCATGTTCACAGGAGCTCGCATCTGGTTGTTCTTTGGTTTCCTTCTGGGCTTTGGTGCTCTGATTGCTGCATCCTGGATCTTGTTCGGCTTCTACGTCGTCCAGTGTAAGTCCTGCTGTGACCCTCAAGAAACATTGCATCTAAGATTAGTTGTGATGTGACATTAACCTGCAGCACAAGTACGTATGTACCGAGTATCGAGCAAAAAAAATGAGACAAGTTTTGATTCAACATCTTGATTTAATAATTGACATAAATTTATAAAAATTGGCACACATGTAGACAGTGAATTGTTAAATCGTTCACAGTAGTCAATTGTCAGTCAGTCCACCATTTCGCTCCAAACACTGTTCAGTCCGTCGAGGCATGGAATTTACAAGATTGTCCATCAGTTCCTCAGATAGCTCATACCACGTTTCATGAATCACTCGTTTCCAATCTGCAATGTCTTTCGGTTCCAACTTTTCCACTTTGTCTTATGATTTGCCAGACATTTTCGATGGGATTAAGGTCTGGTGAAGCGGCCGGAAAATCCACTACCTGAATGCATTTCCAACGAAGCCAAGCTTTGGTGTGGGCGGACGTGTGTACGCATTATCTTGTTGCATTACATAGGGAATTCCACTCTGTCTGATATTAGAATCTAGCAGTCCCTCTTGCAAAAGCTCACAGTACTTCCTTGAATCAATGCGACCTGTAATTTCCAGAATCTGCGTTAACCCAAATTTCCCTATCCCACTCCACACCATCACAGAAGACGAGAACTTTGGGCACATTTTTTCGCATTTCCATTTCGACACCACCTTTTCCTTGTAATTCTGAAAAATTGGAACTTCGATTCGTCTGTAAATACCCAGTTTGAGTGTCCCTATTATGCCAACACCACTTCCGTCTTCTCCGCTTGTGCTCTTGCATCATAACGGAACCTTTGTCGGCACTTTCTTCACGATTCCTGATTCCAGTCCATTCAGATACTCTAGTACTCACAAAAGCCATGGCACGCTCACCCAGTTTTTTTGCCGACCAGTTTGGATGCACCGCCACCAGTTGTGCGAGTCGTCTCCTGTCGTTTCCACCGAGTTTACGAGGACGTCCCCCCGATCCCGGCTTGCACTGAAAACTGCTGGCAGCTTGAAATCTGGCAATAATTCGGTAAATGGTACTCCAGGGAAGCCCCAATATTTTCCGTAACTTCTGAACTGATTTGCACCCTGCTTCATATAAAGCGAGAAGTCGATATTTCGCATTGGATTTCAACATGACGTCGGTAACTAGGAAATCGTCTGCTACAGCATCATCACGTGACCCGGCCCAACAACAGGGGCGATAATGCCAAGAATGTCATACTGTTGTCAGTGGTGCAAAATATGACTGACTGACTGACTGAGTTTGGTTTTACGCCGCTTTTAGCAATATTCCAGCAACATCACGGCGGGTGACACCAGAAATGGGCTTCACACATTGTACCCATGTGGGGATTCGAACTCGGGTCTTCGGCATGATGAGCCAACGCTTTAACCATTAGGCTACCCCACCGCCCCTGCAAAATATTACCCAAACAAGTTCGAATTCACCTCGCGGTGACCCCAAAACAACTTTTTGTAAGTGTCTCAATTTTTTTGCTCGGAGCTATATGTAAATCCAGTATGTTACAAGTCATTGAGCAGTATGGTATAAATGTTAATGGTATCTGCCTGGAACTACAGGGAAGTATGTTAATGATTCCTGGGGCCTTCTGAAATTGTATGGATCTGAATATAATTCTTTTGTCTTCCAGTTGCGACTCCAGATTGGCCTGGTATTGCTGTCTTCCTGCAGAACGCACTCATATTTTTCAGGTAGTATTTCAGAACAACTAATCTTCTCCCAGACGGAACACAAAGGGCTTATTCTTGTTATCATGTTGAATTGTTTGATTTGCATTCTGGAAGTCTGTGATTGAAAATGAAGCATACAACTTCTTGTTTATTGCACATTGTTCATGTTGCTACACATGACTGTTAGAACATTCTGTTCAGTTAAAGGGAGACAACTCTTACAGCCCAAATGAAATGGCAGGAAACTAGACATTTGTCCAGAACTTTGGATTTGTTTTGAGATGAAATATTTAAAAAGAAGTTGAATTTTATATATTTTTGACAATGTATATGCATTAAATCTTCATTCCTATGAAACATAAGTAAACTATGTAGTGGTTGTAGACACTAGTGAATTATTGTGTTGTGCATGTGTTCTGATAAACACATGTTTACTCTCTAGTAACAGAAAACAGAACTTCTTTGTGCATAACCACACATGGGAGCTCAATGGGGATTATAAAACACAAGTGATCCCTGTAGTCTTTATTGACTCAGGTGAACTTGGTATTGTCTTAGACACAGGTGGACTTGTTATTGTTATAAGACACAGGTGGACTTGGTATTGTTATAAGACACAGATGGACTTGGTATTGTTATTAGAGACAGGTATTCTTATAAGACACAGATGGACTTGGTATTGTTATTAGAGACAGGTATTGTTATAAGACACAGATGGACTTGGTATTGTTATTAGAGACAGGTATTGTTATAAAACACAGATGGACTTGGTATTGTTATTAGAGACAGGTATTGTTATAAGACACAGATGGACTTGGTATTATTATAAGACACAGATGGACTTGGTATTGTTATTAGAGACAGGTATTGTTATAAGACACAGATGGACTTGGTATTGTTTTAAGACACAGATGGACTTGGTATTGTTATTAGAGACAGGTATTCTTATAAGACACAGGTGGTTTGATCTTGTTATGAAACACAGGTGGACTTGGTATTCGTAAAAGACACAGGTGGACTTGGTATTGTCATTAGACAGAGGTGGACCTGGTATTGTTATTAGACACAGGTGGACTTGGTATTGTCATTAGACACAGGTGGACTTGGTATTGTTATAAGACACAGGTGGACTTGGTATTGTCATTAGACAGAGGTGGATCTGGTATTGTTATTAGACACAGGTGGACTTGGTATTGTCATTAGACAGAGGTGGACCTGGTATTGTCATTAGACAGAGGTGGACCTGGTATTGTTATTAGACACAGCTGGACTTGGTATTGTCATTAGACACAGGTGGACTTGGTATTGTTATAAGACACAGGTGGACTTGGTATTGTCATTAGACAGAGGTGGATCTGGTATTGTTATTAGACACAGGTGGACTTGGTATTGTCATTAGACAGAGGTGGACCTGGTATTGTCATTAGACAGAGGTGGACCTGGTATTGTTATTAGACACAGCTGGACTTGGTATTGTCATTAGACACAGGTGGACTTGGTATTGTTATAAGACACAGGTGGACTTGGTATTGTTATGAGACACAGGTGGACTTGGTATTGTCATCAGCCACAGTGGATTTGGTATTGTTATTAGCCATAGAAGGACTTGGTATTGTCATTAGACACAGGTGGACTTGGTATTGTTATTAGCCATAGAAGGACTTGGTATTGTCATTAGAGACAGGTGGACTTGGTATTGTTATTAGACACAAGCAGACTTGGTATTGTTATTAGACACAGGTGAACTTGATATTGTTATTAGACACAGGTAGACTTGGTATTGTTGTTAGACACCAATGGACTTGGACTTGTCATCAGAGACAGGTGGACTTTGTATTGGTATTAGACACAGGTGGACTTGGTATTGTTATTAGGTACATGTGGACTTGGTATTGTTGTTAGACACCAATGGACTTGGACTTGTCATTAGAGACAGGTGGACTTGATATTGTTATTAGACACAGGTGGACTTGGTATTGTCATCAGCCACAGTGGATTTGGTATTGTTATTAGCCATAGAAGGACTTGGTATTGTCATTAGACACAGGTGGACTTGGTATTGTTATTAGCCATAGAAGGACTTGGTATTGTCATTAGAGACAGGTGGACTTGGTATTGTTATTAGACACAAGCAGACTTGGTATTGTTATTAGACACAGGTGAACTTGATATTGTTATTAGACACAGGTAGACTTGGTATTGTTGTTAGACACCAATGGACTTGGACTTGTCATCAGAGACAGGTGGAATTTGTATTGGTATTAGACACAGGTGGACTTGGTATTGTTATTAGACATAGAAGGACTTGGTATTGTCATTAGACACAGGTGAACCCGATACAGTTTATACATATAAGGTGAAATGTGACATGTTTATAGACACCAGAAAACCCTCTAACATTGATGCAAAATTATGTAAAGGAGAATGATTACACTTTCTTCTTGCTGTGAAAGTATTTCTTCTGTTGTTGCAGTTCAATTGTATTCAAGTTTGGTCGGACTGAGGACCTGTGGGGGTGAGTTTGACCAGCCGACCGGCTGGACAGGAGATGGCTGAGACCACAGATTTAACAAGGAATCATCTCTTACACTGAAACCCACTGGGACAACTATTAGTTTGTACTGTTTATATGCTGTTGCTGAAATGTCTTCTTCAGTCTATCAGGAAATAGAATGTGAATAATTTATGGACATTTCATGATATTGATGAAGATTGTAAATATTCAGACAATATTTTATGGGATTTCCACATTTGTTGGTTTTCTGCTGTATCAATAACTTCCAGGATTTGTCTACAGCAGTATGATGACACAACCAACTAATGAGAAATACAAGTACATCACTCTTCTCTGTCATGCCTCTGGAATTCTCTCTGATTCATGTTGTGTACTTGTAAATTACTTGTGTGTGTATTTGTGATCTCCAAAGCTCCTGTCCCCATAACCCATGTCCTGTACATAGTCCAGTCCCACGACTGTTTCTCCACACAACCCAGTGTATCCTCTACCTTACATAACTGCCTGTATCTCTCCGGTGTGCTTCTCTCTCTTGTGTCTATGTGGTCTGTCTACGTGATCTGTCGACATGGGTGGTCTATGTGGGCTGTTTACGTGGTCTGTTAAAGTGGTCGGTCTACATGGTCTACCTGGACTGACTCTCTTTACCTGCTGTATCTGCATCAAGTCTACCTGGGTTTTTTTCATCAGGTCTGTCTACCTAGTTTAGTTTACCTGGGTATGTTTGGAGCTAGTTATAGATTTTGTCAATGGTTAACATTGTCTCAATGTCAGAAACAAGAATCCTATTGATAAACTAGCAACGTGTGTTGTACACACACACTGTGACCAAATCTCCATACTTGAGATTGATGTGTGAGTCAGTGTTCATCCCAAGGTAGCCAAGTTCATACCCAGGTAGCCATGTTCATGCCCAGGTAGCCATGTTCATCCCCAGGTAGCCATGTTCATCCCCAGGTAGCCATGTTCATCCCCAGGTAGCCATGTTCATCCCCAGGTAGCCATGTTCATCCCCAGGTAGCCATGTTCAGCAAACAATAACGTTGTGCAGCGGCTCTGTATGTGCTATCGACAGTACTTCACTAGTGTGCACTGTTTCTCCTCTGTACTGTCAATATTGATGATTTGTTAGTGAGGTAGCTATGTCCTTCCTCTTTGATCTGAGAACTGTTGAACTGCAGTCATTATCCAACAGACATTGTGTGATTTTTCAAGCCTGTGTCAAGTTAGAAATGTGACATGACGTACACAGATTTAGTCCACCATGTGTGAAACAACATGAAGAACCAAAACTGCTGGGATCACAAGACATGTTGATGATCTGGTCCATGCTTGTGTCAGTGCTTGTGTCAGTGCTTGTGCATGTACTGCACCCGATTCACACCTGACAGTGAATGTTTGTATCCATGGCAACACCTGCAGTCAAGAGATGTACATGATTCTCATTGACTGAGCTTGTGTCCATGGCAACAGGTGGCAATGGACCTAATTCTGACTCAATAGTGCTTGTGTCTGTGGCCTTGCATGGACAGAGAGGGACCTGATGTCCATATGGCTTATGCTCTGCATTGTTGGACTACTGTGCAATTATGTTTTTGTAATTTATGTCTTTGAAATATTTGTTATTTAAAGAAACAAATAAAAGTTGTTTCAATAAAGCAAACTTTTTTTTATTTTTTTATTTGTAATAATGTTTTTATTGTTCCCAAGGGTACATCGTTAAAACACCAATTCACGTTTTTTAGAGTTTGTTAGGTAGAGTTCAAAAATACACAAAAATTCACATTTTCACATCAAAATAACGTAGCGAATATAGAGTCTATTTTCATTGTTAAGTTGGGAATATAGATCTCTATTTTGTGTCATGACTTTGGAGGCTAATATTTTTAATTGCAATGAATTTTTCCACATTGAAAATTTCTCTCAAAACAAACAGGAAATTTTGAAGTTTTGGAGTGTGTTGTTTAATCCCACATAAATGGATATATTTTTTGGCAGTTAGGATAATATTGTTTAGTAATCTATCTGTGTATAATGTTCCAAACCAAACAAGATATTTTGTTATTTAGTTGTGTTCTCAATATGATTATTCATCAAAACTTTAAGTTCATTCCAGAATGTTTGTGTTTCTCTACATTCCCAATAAACATGACAAAATATTCTTATTCAGCTCATTACAAAAACAGCAAACAGTACTGTCAACAAGTTTCATTGTAAATAGTTCAGTTTTAGTATAGATAATAGTACAGATAATACCACGTAAAAACTTGTATTGGAAATCAAGTAGTTTGACATTTCTATAAGTCGTAAAAATCTGATTCCAATCAAAAGTAACATTAGCAAAAGATTCTTGCCATTTAAGACACATTTTAGGTAAATCTTCATCGGAAATGATAGCGTCATAAAAATTCTAGAGCCTTTGCATGATTTCAATAAAGTCAAATGACACTCAGTTATGAGTAAATCAAAAACTGGGATGTTTCTAGAGCGTCTAATAGTACATTGTATATTTCCAAGAATCAGGTAGTATATTCAAAACATGCAAATAGTCCAGGAATGTGCCTTTAATGCCATACATTTCCTTCAATTTGTCAAAGGATAAAAAGCCAGTTTTGTCACACAGGTCCTTAATTGTAAGAATGCCTTTACTTGCCCTGTTTGTATTGTAGTGTGTTGGGTTTTTGTAATTATGGTTAAACCATAGTGATTGGGCTAGGATTTCATAAATATTACCAGAATTCACATGACTTTTTTTGCAATATTTGTTCCAAGCTTTCAAAACATCATTCCAATAAGGGTTATCGATGTGAGCTACTTGATCAACATTTGCACCAGATTTTAAAATGACATCAAAAGGAATATTACAGGGATTTTCAACTGTTGTTTTTCTACAATAAGATCTCAGGTTAGCTAGTTTCAAAGCTTCACAAAATGTTACTGTGTCAACCATTCTTAAACCACCATTTTTGTATAATCTTTTCAAATTGTTCCTTTTGATTTTATCAGGTTTGTCATTCCATATGAATTTGAAAAAGCTATTCTCCAATGAAGTAATGAAGTCTTTAGGAGGATTAGGCAGAGTATTGAATATATGAACAAGTTTTGACAAAGCCAAAGTTTTTATGACAGATATTTAAACAATCAGTGTCAAGTGTCTTTTCCTCCATTGTGAAAGCAATCTATTTATCTCATCTAGTCTTTTTCTTGTATTGATTACCCATAAGCTCTTCAGATCTGTGTTGAATTTAATTCCCAAGACTTCAAACACACCCTTTTGCCATCTTAATGTCTTTACATAGTATATCCATACTATTTTTCTTTGAGCCAATCCATATTGCTTTTGTCTTATCAATGTTTATTTTAAGTCCTGACATTTTATAAAATGTATTAATTTCATCAATAGCAGCCTTTAAGCTTTGTTCCTTTCCATCAAGAAATAGTTCCGTATCATCTGCATATTGGTTTAATTTATACTCATAATTGTCAATAACAATACCTTTTATGTTCTCATTACTTCTAATCATACAACCAAGTATTTCAGCGACAAAAATAAAGACGTAATGTGACAGAGGGTACCCTTGCCTGCATCTGTGTTCATTTAGGAAAAAATCAGTGAGTTTACCGTGTTGGATGGTACATGATGTTTCATATGTGAGTATATTTATCCAACGAGTGATTTCAGGCCCAAAACCAAATTTAGCTAAAACAATATTCAAGAACTCTTTGGACACTGTATCGAAAGCCTTCTCAAAATCTATTAGGAGAATTAGTCCTGGCATATTTCTTTTATTAGTTTCAAACATTATATCATATAGTAATCTTGTGTTTTCACTAAGAGTTCTACCTGGAATAAAGCCTGTTTGGTTAGGGAATCTAAGGTTTTCTTCAAACGGTTAGTGATACAAGTGCTTATAATTTTTCAAAAGTGTTTTATCTCTGTTAGCTTTAGGTATGCAAGTTATTACTCCTCTTTTCAAAGTTATAGACATTTGATTTTTTTCTGAAATATTAACATCCAAATTTTGAGTTCCTTCCAAAAGAATTTAAAACAATCAATTGGGAATCCATCAATTCCCGGGCTTTTGTTATTTTTCATATTCTTAACTGCATAGGAAATTTCATTCATATCAATCTCTTTTTCCAAAATTTTTCTTAATTCATCATTGAGGGTTGGGGTTACAATGTGATGTAGGGCTGTAAAGTATTTTGTTGTCTTGTTTATCAGCAGAATAAAGTTTTTTATAGAAGGATTTTACTTCATTCAGTATAGAATCACTATCTGTTAACTCCTCATTGTTGCTTGACCGAAGTTTATTAATAGAATTATTAACATAGTTTCTGTTTTCCAAGTGACAAAAATATTTTGTTGGTTTTTCACCATCCTTATACCAGAGCAGTCTATTTCTCATTGATGTTCCTCTCATTTCTTCTTCTTTTATTTGATCAAGTTCAGTTTTGTGTTTTGAAAGTTCACCTAGCAAATTTTTACTGATGTTTTGAAAATCTTTTCTTATATCTTGTTCAAGAGCCTTTATTGTAGATTCTAGTTCATCAGTTCTATTCTTTTTACTTTTTTTAAGATATGTAGAATAAGATATACTCTTACCTCTTATTTTCATTAGCAGGGTTTCTAGAAATAAGCTATCATCAATCTTAAGCTGTAATTCCTTTGGATTATCATAATTAACTGGTTCGGATATTCTGTATTCATCTATGGTTTCTTTTGTTATATTTCTCACTAAGTTTCCATAATCTAGATTTAGAAGCAAGGAATTATTAAACTTCCAATAACCTCTCCCTCTTTCTTGATTAATAGAGTTTGAAAAAAAATAGGGAAATTGTAGAATGATCAGATTTATAACCTGGTAAAATATTGGAATCCAAGGTTAGGTAAAAAGCAGACTTTGGCAAGTGATTCTTAGCTCCAAATGTTATTGTCTATGTGTGTGTATGTTACAAGTGTTAATCTGTCATCTGTGAGTCTGTAAGTCAGTTTCTTCTCTGTATCGACTGAACACATCTGAAAGTCCATAAGTTTCTTCTCTGTATCTACTGAACACATCTGAAAGTCCATAAGTTTCTTCTCTGTATCTACTGAACACATCTGAAAGTCCATAAGTTTCTTCTCTGTATCTACTGAACACATCTGAAAGTCCATAAGTTTCTTCTCTGTATCGACTGAACACATCTGAAAGTCCATAAGTTTCTTCTCTGTATCAACTGAACACATCTGAAAGACCATCAGTTTCTTCTCTGTATCTACTGAACACATCTGAAAGTCCACTAGTTTCTTCTCTGTATCTACTGAACACATCTGAAAGTCCGCCAGTTTCATCTCTGTATCTACTGAACACATCCGAAAGTCAACCAGTTTCTTGTCTGTATCTACTGAACACATCTGTCATTATCCACTTTCTAGCGGTATTGTGAGTTTAGGAAGTCAACAAGACGTTAGATTGCACCTATACTGAACCGCCAAAGAAACGCCACACCTTAATTCACTCTAATTAACAATCAAAACGGAGGATTGCGTCCAAACTTGACAGTTATGGTCAACACTTTTTCGACAATCACATTTAGAGTTCACACAAACAATTTCACCAAAAATGGGACCACTAAGATACCTCAAAGTCAGTATCTTGTGTGGTCTCCATGGGCATCGATGATGGCGTTGGAATGAATCAGCTGGTTGATGAAGGCCATAGGCACTTGAGTCCATACTCTGCGAAATGCCTGATCGAGTCAAGCCACAGTTGTCGGCCTTGGTTGGAAGTCATTCAGTCATCTTTGAATCTCGTCCCAAAGGTGTTCTATTCGACTTAAATCCGGACTGAGTGCAGGCTATTGTAGGGTTTGAATGCCATATTGTCTTTGGAAGTCCAGTGTTGCTCAGGCAATGTGGGCACGAGCGTTGTCTTGCTGGAAGATGTGATTTCTGTGACGTTCAAAATGTGGTACAACGAGGGGTTTTATGACTGGTCAGTATAGCGAGCAACTGTCACGCCATTTCTTCGTCCTGGACCGTGATTCTGGTGCCACCCCACACCGTGATTCTGGTGCCACCCCACACCATGATGCTTGGTGTCTCTTTCAACAGTACACGCATTGGAAAACCGTTCCCCACACCTTCGCCATACTCTCACTCTGCCATCGTCTGTCGAAACACAATATCGGCTTTCATCAGAAAAAAAGCACAGTTCTCCATTGGTGATAACGTCGATTGCGATGCTGAGTTGCATTACAGTCGGTTTTGGCGGTGACGAGCGGTGAGGACAGGACCACGATATGGTCCGTGATAGAAGAGGTTTCTTTCGCGCAAACGTCGACGCACTGTATTGGCACTAATAGGTCTGTTGTAAATCCCAGTGGTCTGGCGAGCTCTTTCCGTGGCTCTGGTGAAGGGATCCTGCAGATGGTTGCGCACAATCTGTCGGTCTTGACGTTGTGATGTTACTGCAGGTCAGTGTATATTGGCACAGCTCCCACATTTGACCACTTTCTAAAATGTCATTGTGTATTTCATAGCTTTCGGTCGTGGGAGCCGTGCCAATCAACACTTATCAGAGGGGTACACAAAGTCCGCAGTCTAGACTACCAGTTGTCCGACTTCCATTTTTGTGGAAGCCGCGGTGGCTGAGCGGTCTAGGCGTCTGACTTTGTGTG